AAAGCTTTTCATCATTATTAGCAGGAGTATAGGAGGAGAACATCCACTTGTTTGAACAGACATGTCTGGTGGCACCAGTGTCCACCCACCATTCCTTAGTATCTCCCACCAGATTGCACTCCATCACCACCGCTGCCAGATTCAGTTCTTCAACCTTATCAGCAATATTAACCATGTTGGCTTGGGTGGTCTTCTTCTTCTTATTGAACTTTTGTGGCTTCCTCTAATCTTTCTTCTGTTCCTTCTTACAGTCCCTTGCACGATGGCCAGAATTCCTACAATTGTAACAATTGCCTTTGGACTTTTTACTTTTTTCTTGCTTAGCATTTTCATCTTCAGAATATTTTCTCTTTTTTGACTTTGATCCCTCTTCAACAACATTAGCCTTGGAGACCATAGAATTATTGTCATTCCTCTTATCAGAAATGTTATTATCTTCCTCTATCTTTAATCTCATAATCAAATCTTCAAATGCATACTCACTTTTGCATAAGTCGTGCATCTCGCTCATATACGACTTAAATGCTTACATCCCTTACGTCTTGTATGACTAATATGCGGGACTAGTCTTTACGCAAGTACGACAACTATAAGTGTTGCATTAGTTTGATTATATATATTTGTAAAGTGAATTATTTAGATCATTATTCTTTAAAATTGTATTAATATGGTCATTTTGCCTCCATATTCCTTTATATGTAATCAGTTAGTTCATTAACCACCTTAGCTCATCAAACAAACTATATATATATATATTGGACGTTAACTAAGGACCGGGAGATTATAAAATTGGAGTTGTACAAAAGGAAAAAAAAGGTTAGTAAATTTAATTAAATCTTCAATTATGTATCAAAACTTTTTTTTCAATGAATTAAAGTAAACTCCAATATTCTTAGGAGTGTCACTGTCAATCTACAAGCAACGTGGTCGTCTAAAACTCTTAATTATGAAAGCGTGTGGTGACGTAAATATAAAAGAGGTGATGGTATCATGGATCTTTTTTGGTAGATGTATTATGGATCTTTGAAAGTGCACAATTAAAAAATTGTGTATCATTTTAAAGATATAAAGTTATGTTGTTTTAAGTAAGAGAAAAAAATATATAAATGAGAAGAAAGAGTGGACAAAAAAATATAAAAATATAAGTCTCACATCTTTATAAGAGTGAAAAAATATAAGTTGTGTCATTTAAAAAGACAATTATTTTTTAACAAAATAAAAAAGGACAATTATTTTTTTTATTTTTTAGGTAGAATGGAAAGTGCAAAATTGAATGCAGTACTTTAACGTCTGAAGTGGAGACAAGTAACTTTAATAATTAAGAAAGTTGATAGTGTTTGTTTTCACACGCACTTTATTTGTAAAATAGTTACACATGAAGTTGATGGAGGAGCAAATTGGTTATTACAAATTGATAGAGGGGCAAATTAAAAACCTTAATTCAAATAAACACAATTAAATACGAATAGCGGGTACACTGGTTTGTCCTAAATCCTAATTAAGCTTCAATCTCGTGATTTTGGTTTAGTTCTAAAAGGAGTTTGATTTTTTGACGTTGCATGAGAATTAAATTATTATATTGTGATTCAACTAGTGGTGTGTTTCATATTTATTAAAAAAAGAAAAAAAAAATGTTTTGCACGTAAATCGAAGTATCATAACATGATAATTGAATTCTTATGCAGTATGAGAAAATGTTTTCCCATTTTAAAATAAGGAACATGATCTGTTTACAAACTTTTTTGAATTTTTTTACAAATTACACTATCTTCTCCCGGGAGAACATAGTGTAGTTCGTAAAAGTTTGTATTCTTCCGGGAGAATATAGTGTAGTTTATAAGAGTTTGTAAACAAAAAAGTTTGTAAATATAACCTGCCCCTTAAAATAATGGATTTTTTTTTTATATGTTGTGTTTTTTTTCTTTCTTTTTTTGAGATATCCAATCTGTTCATTGTTTCACGACTAGTCTGATTCTTGACGAATATCGAGATTAAAGCTTTAAATTTCTCTCAAAGATAATATTAAAGAAGATCAAATATATACTCTTATCTTCATCTGTTCAATTTCCTAACAACAACCTAAACCACCATCATTTGATTTTTTGTTGTGTTCTTACTCACAAGGATGTTATTCCTTTACTTAATTTTAAAACAGAGCATTCAGTGACATTGTTTCGTCCAGAAAAGCATTATAATAATAATATATATTAATATGTAAATACAAAGTAAAGTAATATATATATATATATATATATATATATATATATATATATATATATATATATATATATATATATATATATATGTAAGATTAAAAAGTATTATTTTATATGTTATGAGTCTCACATTGGTTGTATAAGTAAGTGATGTGTGATTTATAAGACCTTGAGCACTCACATTCTTTGAACTAGCTTTTTAGGGTGCTAATATCAAGATTCGTATCAATTGATGTTTTCGTTTATAGTTGTTCTCACAAAAAAGGCTACTTATAAGATGGATTAAAGTGTCGTATCTCCCAAAGGGGTGTTGTACTGAATATTGATAGGTGAGCGAATCTGCCAAAAGTGAAAAAAGGCTACTATTAGATCAGTGTCAATAGTGTGAAAGCCGCCAAAAGTGCAAAGGGCTACATCGAGTTAGTGTCGATAGAGTGAAAGTTGTCTTGGACGTCGGCCCTTAAAGTGGGTGACAATGATATGAGTCATACATTGATTATATTAGCAACTAAAATGGGGTTTATAATGACGTGGATATTTTCATCTTTTGAGCTAGCTTTGATATGGTGATCTTTAGGTCTTTGAGATCCTATCACGACAATTGATTTTCATTTATATAATGATTATAATTTATTTGAGATTCATAATTAATTAATTTATATAACTAATAAATTACTGTGGTTAAATTAATGAAAATGAACACTTAAAATATGGAATAACACTAATTATTATGCCAAAATCAAAATACATAGTATTGAAAACGGAAAGATCCACGAAGCCACCATGGTAATGATAGCACCCGCGACTGCAGGTTGACTCTCTTGGTCTCGTTTCTCTCAATAATCTAATTCTCACTTCTAACTATTTTGAACTTTTTTTCTTTCAAAAGATTACAACGATTTCCAAGTGGAGTTGGAAATTTCTTTGATGTTGTTATTTGAAAAGCATATCATAATCTTATCACACTTTACAAGTCCTTTTCATACAATCAAAACCGCAAACGACATTGTCTCAGGAGAAAATTCTAAAGTAAGGGTTGTATATTTTCAAATTAGGTTGATATGTATAAAGTTGAAAGGATAATATCTCTAAAAACTGTATTGATTAACATATATTAATTATTAATTGAAATGCCTATAATAAATAATGTCTAACAACCAATTTCTCCATCCTAAGATCAATAATTAAATTAGATGCTAGTTGTATGACATAGATATGGTCGACACCGGCAACTTATTTTAACAATAAAAAATGAAAAAAAGAGTCACATGCATGAATGTTTGGTCTAAATATATATGTAATAGCTGTATTGGTTTAATTTAATCTCTTTTTGGATTGTTTATTTCACAAGACCATAGTAATTAAAAAATCGCTTTATAACAGCGTTTTTACGTTTTTTTTTCATCAAAATATTTTCATCAACATTCTTCTTATTTTTACGTTTTTACATTTTTTATTCTCCTTTTATTTGTAGCCAAAAACTGGTTTTTATCTACCTTGAACAAGACAAAAGCGTCTCCATCTTCTTCGTTTGAACTTTTGATTTTGTAACGTTGATTATCCTTTCTTCATCAAATATACGAAAAGAAAATGATTAGCGTGTACCTATTTCAGTTGAGAGAAGTTCTTAAGTAAATTTAAATTAAGAATAGTATTAAATTTAAAGTCACTAGAGGTGGACATAGTTGGCTAAATATTTAGTTCATATCCTATAAGGAAGTTCAAATTCCCTTGGCCGATATGAAATGGGATCTAAAAAGGCACACTTTAAACGACTTTGACTTCCTTCAAAATCATAATAAAGTTTTACTTTTAGTAAATTTTTGATATATGATAATAATAATAGAGAGTGAATTTTCTTATTTAAATTTTGAATGATATTTTAATATGTAAACTTTATATTTATGTCTCTTCTTTTAAACATTAAGATAGACTCTTCTGTTGACATTTGTGAACATCTCTAGAGAGATAAAAAAAAAAATTACGCATAACAAAATCATATAAAATTTACGCATAAGATGATTCATTCCCTTATTTGTCCATAAACATTTCAAAATAATTCTTATTAGCTTAAGGAAAATACAAAATAGTCAAAAAAAATTAAAATTATTAAAATAAGTTTGATATTGTTATTAATTTTTTTTGTATAGATGTGTGTTTCTTACCACTCTGACTTACCCAGTAGTTACTCTTATTTTGACAAATTCTAACTAAATTTTATCAAAAAAAAAGTCTATCAAAGTACTAGATAAGGCCCTAACTAATTTTTTATTTGTTGGGCTTTTATGGCCCCCATATCTACCAAAATTTTCTTTTATCTAGCGAACATTACCCGATGCATAAAAGAAAGCATGTTTCGGTATGGATACACATACATGAGACTGTTTATTCCAGATAAATTGACTTTTAGATTACCAAAATCTTAATTGCTTTACTTCATCACAAAAGACTAATGATTCAACTCACCAAAAACAAAAAACAAAAAAGAAGAGTGAGATTATCAAGATTCAAAACTATAAGAAATAGGTAGTTTCTTTATGCCAGACAGAGCTACGGCATAATCATTTCCAAAATTATTTAAGGGCTGCAGTTTGGTTCATATTTGTCAAACGATAGAATACAAGATTGGCTCATCTCAAAAAATAGGAAAACAACACTACTTAATTGGAAAATAGATATAAAGATAGCATAAACTAATCTATATCTAGAAAGCAAAAGTGTAACTCTGATCTCCATTTCCTATGAAAATGTTCCAAATATGAAATTAAATCACTAAATGACAAGGTAGACCAGCACTGCAATTTATTTTCACTTAGGATAAGCAAATCAATAATAATAAAAATAATGGTTCTGGCTTCTCATATTATGGTGCACAAGAACCACTTGAGTAAATTAAGGTACATAATCAAATCTACCCATGTAACATTATAAACCCATCTGCAAAATCATCACCCTTTTGGCTAGCTTGAATCCTCATCCTGCCACATCTCAACCCAATTCTTCTGAACTTCATTCAGCCCAAGAAATGAACCTTCCCTCTCTGCATCCAAACTTGTGGACAGTGTCCCAAATGCAATTCCAAGTGTGGAAGTCCCAAAAGTTAAGAAAGTAGTAAAAAATGGGATCCATATGGGCACATCCCATATTTGTCTTTCCTTAAGCATACCAAAAACATACAACAATGCCAAACCCAACCCCATTGGAACCCCCACAGAAAACAAGATTCTACCTATTATCCTGTTCAAAACTACCTGAGGAAGCTCATCATCCCCATTGTTTTTCCCTTTGCTGGGGGGCTTCTTGCCAGTGACATCACTTTCAACATTTGAAGGTCTAGAGGAAAAGCCTTTAGCGTTAGCATGTGGCTTTATTGTGCTTAAAGGGTAGTTGAGTTTTTCTGCAGTTCTGGGGTATAAAGCTGGGAACTTTGGTCTCCATGGAGAACATTTTGAGATATAGTGAGTTGGGTTTGATGCACAAATCAGAGTTTTCATGGTTTCTACGGATGTGTTTAGTTGTTTCATTAGGCTTGGAATGGAGATTTTTTATTGACATATATCTTATCCTAAAAGTAAACGGATGGTTATGAACCTCATGGCTTCATCCCCTGAGATATTTGTTGTTATCTTAGATTTTTTTTTCCCTTTTCTTTTTGAAGATTTTTCATTTTGCATTTTAAGTGTTAGTTGTTTTACCAGTTTACCCTTTCATTTACTTCAGTTGGCAGTTCAAGACCTACATGAACAAGTTATAGATTTTTGCAACCAAAGGGGGTGATGTAGTAATTGCATTTTTAGCCTTGCCTTGTATGGTGCTGGCTATCAGCTATGTTTGATAATCAATAATGAAGGAGGCATTTTCTTTTGGGAATGAATCATACTATGTCTCATTCATTGACAAAATTTTTAGTCATCATTTTGTGATTAATTTAAATTTTAAAATATCTAATTTCATCATTATTACCAGGAAGTTAAGTTGGTGATGTAGGAATTGTACACAAAATGATATTATTTGCTGTTAATGATATCCAGAAAATCACAATCATGATGTTGAAACAAAGAAAGTATATATATATTGTTAGAAAGTTCTTCAACGATGACCAGACCCAGAAGCTATCCTTGATGATCTTGATTGTGGTCTTTCTGATTGCAGCAGGTTAACTTTTATGCTGAAAATAAGAAAAAATTGAAGCATGGAATTTGTTAACATTTTATTTGAGGGGAAAATAGAAATAAATATGGTACTTTCAATACTCAATGTAAATTTACTCACTTCCTTTGAGCCTGAACATATTCATCAGTTTCATCCAGTATGTCTCCCTTGTAAAGGAGAAAAAAATGATAGCAATCAGCATGGATCATGATTTGTTGGTAGTTCAAACATTTAAGATATTAAAGTGCAAGCCAATATTTTGACTAAAATATATATCTACATTAATTAAGAGTATAAATGAGTCAAGTCAAACCAAGTTTTAGCTTAATTCAACTAGGCTTATGTAAAATATTTCAAGTGTGGCTTGGCTTGTTAGTTTGATATAAGGTAAATTATGAACTTCATCTTACTTGTTTTTAAAAAATACAAGGCTTGACCAATTAATGACAACCATGAGAATAAATTTTTAATAGAAGTAATCTCAACCCAACATCCCTTTGTTCTTTTCTCTTGAACAAAATGATGTGTATCTCATCATCAACAAAAGAAAAGAAGTGTAACTGATCCCATATTATCAATATTAAATATTTTTCAAAAAAAAAAGTTATAGCATAAATCACTATACCAACCTGTAACAGTTCCTCCATGACATCCTCCATTGTAATGATGCCAATGACTTCCTCATCCAAAACATCTTGAAGAGACTCTATTTGTTCTTGTGAGATATATCTATTTTCTAGCTCCCACTGTCTGGATTGTTGAACTAGTTCATTGTCTAGTTCCATGACATGTTGCAATGTTGGACTAAGAATTTCCACATCACTAGATGATAAAATGGGTTCAGGAATAGAACTTGTCTGACTCATGTCCAAGGCAAAGGAAGAATTTGATTCTGCAGATCCCAGTTGGAAAAACATAAGTGATTTATTCTCATCCAAGAAACATTTTCCACTTTTGTTTTCCAATTCATCTTTAATAAAATATTGTTTGATTTTATATGATCCCATGGTTAAATTCCTTAAAATGTTACCTCCAGTAATTTGAGCTGGGTTTGATACTTTATGAGTAATTATATTAAAAAAGGTAGGTGTATCCACAGCATGAGGTGTAGTGCTCTCTGTGTCCTTGTTGCTTTTTAAGACAATAGCCATATGACTGTGTCCCTTCTGGAATTGATTCAATATCTCATATAGTGGCCAATTTTCATAAACCCTGTTAACAGATGTAGACAAAAGCAATGTTGTTATTACATGCACAATATCATGTAGTTAGTATGGTAGTGACTAATAATGTTGAAGCATAGATTACAAAATTCCAGTCATAATAGTTCTCTTACCTAGGAATTTTCCTGATAATCAAATTCTTGATTGGGGTCTCATCTTCTGGGCGGCAGAAGATTAAATTTTTAACCTGTGTAAAAGAATTCATTGTAATACACTAATACTATGTGAATTCAGACAATTAATAAGCAATGTGAAGAATGGATGCTAATGCACTGCAAGTAACAACATTGTCTCCAATGTCAAATGGAAGCTTTCTTTTTTGCATGCATTAATTGGTATTAGTATAATGAACAATACTATCCTTAACAAGTTATAAATTCAAGATTTATAGCATACATTACTAGAATTCATTATATTTGCCACCTATGCTTCTTCAATGGCTTACCAAGATGAGGCCAACAATGTTTCTTGGGTGTCCAGAATGTATAGGTATTCGACTGTGACCTTTGCTCATTATTTGTGTCATTGTATGCCTGATAACAAAGGTGTACCACATTTATAAATGAGAGATTTGGGAGGGAAATATTACATATAAACTACTCCCTATTAAACCCCGTCTAGCGATAGTAGGGATCAGGGCAATATTTGTATACAGCCTTACCTTTGCATATTTGCAAAGAGACTGTTTTTCATTTTCAACTTGTTATCACAACAGAAAGACTTTACCACTATTCCAATTGAAAATATTATATATGTGTATTCAAAATTAGAAGTTATGACAGATTACATGTCTAGCTTGGAACTTATATCAAGAGAAAAAGTTTCAGATATGGGTGTCATTGCATCTTTAGCTGTCTTCTGAGTCAAATCCATAGCACCTGTGATTATAGAAGTTTCATGACGCAACAACTCTCCACCTTTCCCTGCCTGCATATGAAAATTTTAGCAACTAGTTTTGCACTTAGATCAATTTAGTTCATATAGAATATATTAGGAGGAAAACCTCATTTGCATGTAAGTTCACAAATGTCTTCAATTCTGATCTTCTCAGAAGAACTGAATGCTCTTTCCCTAGAGTCCAATCCAGCACCTGCCAAAATAGGAAGATACTTAGAGATATTAGTTAAATCTTCTCAAAAGATACCTATAGAGGCAAATTACCTTACATATGTGTACTCATGAAGTTTTCCTTAAGTATGATTTTTAAATAAATGAGTTCAATCTTTAATTCAATAGTTTTTTTGCATTATGTGTATATAAGCAAGAGGAGTTGCAGAATAAAATAGTTTTGTTACTTAGCTTTTGGTGCAATGGATCATCAATTACAGACTCAATTCGTGATAGTAAAATAGACACAGATATAATTTACCTTACTAGCTGGATAGGTTATAGGGAAGAAGATCAGTAGAAGCAGTCGAACCAAGGGAGCCATTTTTGCTCCTAAAGTTAGTCCATATCTTGAGCCTACAGCTTGAGGTAAAATCTAAGATCATAAATTTGATGTAAGTCAATTTAAGAAAAACTTGCCTTAAATTCATCATTTAATCTGCATTTGTCAAAACAAATATTACCTCTGCAAATACAGTAGCCAAAGGTGCGGACATGATAATAGTAAACCAAGGTGGTATGATTGAGTCCATAAAAATTGGCAGTGCCTTGAACCAAAACATTTAGAATCATTTTTGTTGTCAATGATGTAAATAAAAACCATGTATGACACTTCAATTAACAGTTAAAAACATTTTACTGTCAAAATAATATTAAAGCCTCCTTGTTAAAAGGAAGTGTGAGCTTTTTCTTTATCAACAATTCCAGTTAAAAGGGATTTTACCCTTGGGGACATTTTAGACATAGAAAGGAAAAAACATTTCCGGGACTTATATCCTAATTACTTGACCTTCTAGCATGTGTATTTTTTATTTATCCTCTGATTCATCAATTATCTAACTAATGCGGTTCGAGTTTGGCAGAATTACAAAGATGACAAAACTCTCCCTATCAAATTTTAACACAGCTGCATACCCAGAACTCAAACTCAATATTACTGATTAAGTTAGAACAATCCTCTACCAGCTGATCAACGTGTTTGGTGGTGTAGGATGTGTGATTCTTTTAGCAATATTAAACAAAGTAGTATGTGCTATATAGTATATACAACATATCTCCATAGCAAGTGATTTTCCTAGAAGAAGGGTACACAAGACAAAATGTCCTTTCTTTACAATAGGTAGAATCCTTTCTGCAGATAAAGCAAGATTACTAGTCCCAATTAGACTGTAGACCTTAATGACTGCAGAATGTTGTAACTTTTAGATGGTAAACCTGCATGTTTTCTATCTTTAGGATTGCCTGCCTTAATGAGGACCTCAAGATCAACATGGCTGAATGATAATAGTCCTATAGTTAGGCCTGATGCAGTTCCTGCCAGTAACACAAGCACCAGACATATAATCAGATACACCCAGAAATTGACCTCACAACATGGGTAATCAAAGTCTCTCATTGTGTGATTGGATGAAGTCCACTACTGTTGTGGAGAATGGATGCAAAAGTGATCAAATTTCATAGCGAATTCAATGGCTTAGCTTTTCAAGAGAACTTGTTGTGACTATTTCTTGCATGGAGACATAATGACAATAGGAAGAAGATAATAGATAGATACAAAAAACTTTCGGCCCAAGCGGCCAATACTCAAAAGCTGAATATGTAATGAATATGTTTATTCAAAGAAAGGAGTAGCCATTTTCAAATGCAATAAAGTAATATGCAAAATATCTATTAAAATATATGAACTGCAATGTTTTTAATTTTAGTGAGGACAGAAGAAAAAAAGGTTTAGTTGCTAATAAGCTGAACCATAGTGGAGATAGCATAGTAAAGGGTTGAATGAGAAGTGAAAATAAGACAAGAATAAGGGGTTAGCAAAGATTCTCCGGATACAACAATGATATCATATGACTGCTGAATGGTTAAACGTGCATTGAAGTAATTGGCAAAAGGTACAAAGCCTTTGACTCAACATTGTAGCAACTTCATTTAGTTTTAATTTCCTTGTGCTTAATGATGAACCAGAAAAATAAAATTTCAAACATCATGTTACGAAATTTGCAAGAACCAATTGCACAGTTTACATGAAATTTGATCATAATTAATAAAAACTTGGCATGAAATACATAGTTGTTTGCCAGCTAACAAAAGGACGGCCTTACAAGATTTGCTTTGTTTGTCCTCAAATTGTCACATCAACATGGATATTACCCTGTTCAGTTGTTTTTTCTTTCTTTTATTAAAGTTTGAGAGAAAGAGTGTGCTCAAGATAGATGCAACAACATACTACAACAGCAAAAATACAACATTTCTCGCTTGAAAGGACATATGAGGAGCAAATATACAGCAAACCAAGAAAATTTTAAGGGTTTTATTAATCTCATATTAAAGGAGATCGTTATCTCATGTCATAGAGATAAATTTGTGGGCTCCACCACTTGAAAAAAGAAAAGAAAAGAAAAGAAAAATGTGGCACAATTATCGAAGGGTGTCTAGGAGAGAAAATGTATCTTATGTAACATAAGAATAGTTTTACCCAAATTTTAAATACCAAATAATGGTAGTTTAGTTAGCGCATGTGAGTTGAGTATGTGGGGGTGAGAGCAAGTGTTCAATCCTTCACAGTATCACCTTTGAGAGGGATTTAAAAGCTTTAATCCTAGGCCTGCTCTGAATTGGACTAATCGCGAAATGATAACCGATGAAATATTTTCAAAAAGAAAATTTTAAGTACATATATTGCCAATCATGTACAAAAATAAATAATCCCAAAAGAACACACAACTTTTAACATGAAAAGTGAGTGGTGAAAATAATTGAAAATAAGGATTTCTATATTATTGAATTGTGTTATTAGATAAACGTTAAATTTCCATTTTCATTTAATGAGTTTAGAAGTTTTGTTTTTAGGAATGAATGATGGTTAAGAGTTAGCCGTTTTTAGCAATTTTTTTGTTAAATGGGTGTGGGTTTCTACGGTTTCTGTTTTATGGCTATTAATAGGATTTAAGTTGTTTTAGCAAACTACAGCCTATAAGTAGATGTATTCAATTCTAACAAGATAGACAACGAAGAGCAAGAAAGCAAGTTTTATAAGAGAAAGTTTTTTATAGATACTCTTGTGTGGTTGTCTCTTGCATCTGTGTGAAGATACCAATTCTAACAAATTGGTATCAAAGCCTATGGAGGTTGTGACCAGTAATATGTCGTTGTCCCGTCTAACGAAGGTAAACTACGAGAATTGGAGCATCCAAATGAAAGCTCTTCTTGGATCCCAAGATAGTTGGGAGGTAGTTCAAGATGGTTTCACAGAACCAGAATCTACCGCAGTTTATTCGGCAGCTCAAAACAAGGCATTGAAAGAGACGCGATCAAAAGACAAGGCGGCATTGTACATGCTGTTCCGAGCTGTTGACGAGTCAGGCTTTGAGAAGATTGCGAGTGTTGCAACTTCAAAAGAAGCGTGGGATATTTTGAAAAATGTCTATAGAGGAGCCAACCGAGTTAAGCAAGTTCGGCTTCAAACCCTTCGTGCCGAGTTGGAGGGAATGAAGATGAAGGACACAGAAGGAGTATCCGAGTTCATTACTCGTGTTCAAACCATTGTGAATCAATTGAAACGAAATGGAGAAGATGTAGCTGACACCAGAGTGGTGGAGAAGATCTTGAGATCTTTGACCGATAGCTTTGAGAACGTGGTATGTGCTATAGAAGAATCGAAGGACCTAGCTACGCTCACCATTGATGAGCTAGCCGGTTCCCTTGAAGCGCATGAGCAACGGAAGAAGAAGAAAGAGGAGACTCTTGAACAAGCGCTTCAGACCAAAGCAACAATTAAAGATGAGAAGGCTCTCTATTCTCAAAACTTCTGAGGTAGAGGACGTGGTCGCGGTGGCCGAGGTACTGGGCGTGGTGGTAGAGGCCGAAGCCGAAGTCAAGAAGGTTGCAATGATGAGGTAGGACAATCAAGTCAACAGAACTGGCGTGGAATAGGACGAGGTCGACGAGGAGGTCGGTCACATTATTCAAACATCGAGTGTTACAAATGTGGAAAGTTTGGTCACTATGCGAAAGATTGTAACTCGGACAAGTGTCATAACTGTGGCAAAGTCGGACATTTTGCAAGAGAATGCAGAGAAGAGAAAAGGGTGGAGGAGACATCCAACCTAGCCACAGAAGAGGAAATGAAGGATGGTGTCTTGTTAATGACACACAATGAAGGAAGCTCGGACGATGACATGGAGTGGTATCTTGACACGGGTGCGAGTAACCACATGTGCGGACATAAGCATTTCTTCAAGAAGATGAGAAAGGTGGAGACCGGACATGTTTCGTTTGGGGATGCCTCGAAGGTTGAGGTAAAAGGCCGTGGTACGGTATGCTTCTTGAAAAAGGACGGGTTGATTGGCTCAATCCGAGATGTGTACTATGTACCCGACCTAAAAAGCAATATTTTAAGCATGGGTCAATTGATGGAGAAAGGTTACTCGGTTATGATGAAGGACCGAGTATTGTATTTGAAAGATGAGAGAGGTCGGCTGATAGTCCGAGTTGAAATGGGCAGAAATCGTATGTACAAACTGAACCTGAGAAGTGTACAGGTCGACTATTTACAAGCCGAGGTGGAAGACAAGGCGTCACTTTGGAACCTCCGTTTTGGTCACCTACATTATGGTGGTCTAATCGAGCTGGCAAAGAAGAAGATGGTGGACGGACTTCCTGACATCAACTATGAAGGAAAGTTTTGTGAGAGTTGTGTACTTGGCAAGCATGCTAGGACCACGTTTCAGAAGATGGCGAGATTTCGGGCCAAGCAGCCTCTGGAGTTGATTCATACTGACTTGTGTGGTCCAATCACCCTAGAATCCTTTAGTGGTAAGAAATATTTTATTTCATTCATTGATGATTTCTCACGAAAAACTTGGGTTTATTTCCTGAAAGAGAAATCCGAGGTGTTTGAAGTGTTCAAAAAGTTCAAGGTAATGATTGAGAAGGCAACAGGAAGATTCATCAAGTCGGTGTGTTCTGACCGAGGTGGGGAATATACCTCGACAGCATTAATGGCATTTTGTGAGGAACATGGGATAAGGAGGTTTTTAACAGCATCATACTCACCACAACAGAACGGCGTGGCTGAAAGGAAGAACCAGATTATTCTTGACATGGTTCGGTCAATGCTGAAGAACAAGAAGATGCTGAAAGTGTTTTGGGCGGAAGTTATGCAGTGTGCTGTGTATGTGCAGAACTGATGTCCACATTCGAGTTTAGATGACAAAACACCACATGAAGCTTGGAGCGGTCAAAAGCCATCAGTGGCTCATCTCAGAGTATTTGGTAATGTGGCCTATGCACACGTACCGGACCAGCTCAGAACTAAGCTCAAGGACAAAAGCAGAAAATATGTTTTTATGGGATATGATGAAAAAATAAAGGGGTATAAGTTGTTTGACCCCGTCAACAAGAAGGTCGTAGTGAGCCGAGATGTAAGGCTCAATGAAGCAAATGAGTGGGACTGGAGCAATTCATCCGAGGTGAATTTTGAAGGCGGAATCTCAACACAAATTATCAACCCGGCAAGTCCTGAAGCTTCTGATGATGAAGACGAGGTACGACAACCCAAGATGTGGAGCATACAGGACATATATGAGTCAACAAGTGAGGTATATTTTGTTTGTCTTCTTGCAGATTCTGAGAACATAAGCTTTGAAGAAGCCATCCGAGATAAGAAATGGCAAGACGCCATGGATGAGGAGATATAAGCCATTGATCGAAATAACACGTGGGAGTTAGCCGAGCTACCTGGAGGAAGTCAGCCCATTGGGGTAAAGTGGGTATTCAAGAAGAAGATGAATGCTCAAGGGGAGATAGAACGATATAAAGCTCGGCTAGTTGCAAAGGGCTACAAGCAAAAGGCAGGAATTGATTATGACGAGGTATTTGCTCCCGTCGCGAGAATGGAGACATTTCGGCTATTGATTTCACAAGCAGCTCAACATAGGTGGCAGATATTTCAAATGGATGTCAAGTCGGCATTCTTGAATGGAGTACTTGAAGAAGAAGTCTATCTCAAACAGCCACTGGGATACATGACAGGTGGAGAAGAGAAGAAAATGCTGAGGTTGAAGAAGGCACTTTACGGGTTGAAGCAAGCACCACGGGCGTGGAATACTCGTATTGACACTTATTTCAAGGAAAATTGTTTTTGAGCAATGCCCCTATGAACATGCACTTTATATAAAGAAAATTGGAGATGATGTTTTGTTTGTGGCTCTTTATGTGGATGACCTCATCTTTATGGGGAACAATGATGGAATGATACAAGAACTCAAAAGAACAATGACAAGGGAGTTTGAGATGACAGATCTCGGTCTGATGAGATATTTTCTTGGTCTGGAAGTCAGACAAGACAACTCGGGTATTTTTGTCTCTCAGAAGGCATATGCAAAGGAGATTCTCAAA